GTGTATCCATGCATATATCTCCTTTTGTCATCAATTTGGATACAATATGCCCGTATTTTGATCTTTGGGTCATCGACATTTAGGTAAATTGAAACCAATACTTCTTAAATGGATCTGGAATTCTGGATCTCCTCTTCTTCTTAAAAACAACTGTTCCAACACGTTCCAACATCACTTATATCCCTACATCTCACTACATGGTAGGTCTCAGTGTTATAGTGAAATGTGTTAATACAAATCATGTTGGAAGAGTATTGGACAGTTTTGGTTGGGTGAAGATCCCAATTCCCAACTCGGATCGGATTAGGCTTTTTTAAAATTTGAACCAACAAGACCTGAGTCTGAAATTGTATAAAATGCTACCCACTAGGGATGTAATCGAATCTAGTCGAGTATCAACTATCAAGCTACTTGAGCTCGAGCTCGAACTTGATTCAATCTCGGTCGAGTTTCATATTTTTTACTTGAACTCTATACGAGTTCATATAMTTGAGAGCTATTTCAGTTGGCTTGACTTGAGATAGTTATAAATAAATTAATATTAAAAAATTATAAATAAATCAATATTAAGTATATTAAAAATAAAATATATTAAACAATTATAAATAAATTAATATTATAAATAAAAAGGAAAATTCTCGATTAGTACCATGTACTTTAGGCCTAGTGCCACTTTGGTCTTTGGACTTTAAAATGCGACAATTCAATACCCAAACTTTCAAAACATATCAATCTAGTACCTACCGTTAACCAGCCATTAAGTTGCATTTGAAAAAGATACAAATGCCCTTCAAGTGTCATCTATTTTTTTTTTTATCAATCATCCAAACGTTGACAAAAAGTTAATAGTCTTAAATCCTTGCCTCTTTTATTCAAGAAAGTTGGGGTAATGTCCATTGAGAGGTGACCCCAACTTTCTTGAATAGAAGAGGCAAGGATTTGAGATTGTTAAATTTTTGTTAACATTTGGATGGTTGATAAAGAAAATTAGATGACACTTGAAGGGCATTTGTGTCTTTCCAAATGCCACTTAACGATCGATTAATAGATAGTTAATGGTAATTACTGGATTGACACGTTTTGAAAGTTCAGGTATTGAATTGTCACATTTTAAAGTTCAGGTATCAAAGTAGCACTTAGAGGTATAAATCGGGCTGGGCCAAAGATATTTACTTAAACAATTTGAAAAAACATACAATTTTAATTTTATATGAATTTCGATGTATATAATTATTTATTTTATTAATGTATTATATACTATATATTATTATATAATTATAATTTATTTAATATATTATATTATATATAAATAATATATATGGGCCGTGTCGTGTTGGCACACTGGCAACACGACCCCGCTCGATCATGCCATGCTGGCCTGGCCCGCGGACCTAAAACCCTAGGCCCAGCATGGCCCACATGATCATGTCGGGCCTAGCATGTGCCGTCGTGCTGGGCCGAACTGTGCTGAGCCACGGGCAACATGACCCGATTTACACCTCTAGTGGCACTAAGACCAAATATAGGGTACTAATCGAAAATTTTCTCTAAATAAAAATATATTTTGAAAATCAATTATAAATTTATTTATTTATATAAATAAATTAATATAAAAAATGTTTATTTATATTATAAAATATAAATATATTAAAAATATATTATTTTATTATAATCTCGATTAGGTTCACGAGCTACTCGAGCCGGTTGTTGTAAAAAAACTCGACTCGAGTCAAGCTTGACTCGAACTCGATTAATGCAAGCCAAGTTCGAAAAAATTAGCAAGCCAAGACCGGACGAGTCTGCGTTCTGTGCACCATGGGTGCATTCGACGCGTGAACCCACCAATAAAAAATAGCACATCGGCAATATAAAAAATCACAAACGTTAACGGAAATTCACACGTTAGTCAAAAAAATCGGGTTGAACCGGACGCAAAAAGGACAAAATCACATTATTTCTGTCATGTGGGATTTTTGAAACTCCCACCCATTTTCTCCTCTCCTCCATCGAGCCCCAATACAGAAGCATCTCCCACCGACGACCTACTCACTGCAAATCGGCATTTGTAAACGTGTAACCTACCATCGGCGATGGATTTTCGAATTCCCCCTCCCCAAACTAGACTTCATCCCTTTGTCTTTTCTTCCTCAACCCAAACCCCAAAAGGGAAGACATTTCTTTTGTGGGTCTTGGTTTGCGCTTCTACGGTTCTACCTTCCTCTCTCCTCCTCCTTCGGGCTTCTGGCCTTCGAGGCTTATGAGATCATGGGCATTAAGTTCATCAACTTCCACATGATCCCCTGTGCTTTCATTTGATGGGGAACTACGTCTCCTGTGTGCAACTCCCGTCCGAAACACCAGTCGAGACCATCAAGCTCATCAAGTCAGACGGCCTCGTCAAGATCTACCTTCGACACATCAACGTTTCCGATCTCATTCTTGAGTTCCCAAAACACCTTGTCTGCCACTCTGATTCCTTCTACATAGGTCAGAAGATTCTGGCTCTCTCCGAGAACGCTAAGCTACAAGTACGCTTCTCCTTCCAAAACATTTCTTTCAATCCATCCTATCCTTTGTCGTCATTGCTTCATTCGCTTCCTTCCCATCTCAATCCTCTTCATCGTGTAATATCTCAAAGCACAAGTTTTTGAAGAAGGCTGCAAATCGTCAACCTTTCGATATTCAAAAAACTCCATCCAGATCTCTTCAGATTCGAGTATCGGATGAGTTAGGGGAAGATAAAAGACGACCAAGGAGAGGATGAAAATCACTACAAATTCAAAAACAGAGTTTGCACTACGCCTCAGTTGCAGAAGGACTATACGCAGCTTGTTGGGTATCGAGCTCGACAATGGAAACCGAGCTTGAGCCGATACGAAAGTCCGAAAGGAGGAAGGTAGCTTTCATCCTTAACGATGAAGAAAAGGAAGACATTCCATCAGTCGAGAGGGACCGGTTAGGTTCAGAGACCAGAACGTCTTCACGTTACTTCCACAAAAACTCCTTCAAAAACAAAAAACAAATTCAAGATCTAGGGAAATAAAAGCTTGTGAAAATTGTCAAGCATTCTTAATTTGAACCTCTTTACATTTTTGTAAAAATTCGTTTTCATATTGTAAAACTACAACTCGTTCAAACATGTTTTTCTTCGGTCATAGTGGATTTCATCTCGTTCAAACAGGGGGTTGTTTTTGGAATTTGATTGTTAGAACTTGGAGTTGTTCTGAGTCGCAGAGCGAGCGAGAGCGAGAGAGAGAGAGAGAGATTTCAAGGGACAAGATGTTTTTGGTTGTGCCTGTCAGTTGATTCCTTGCCGCTGCCGGCAGATTTCACGTCACAAACGCCGGTTTGCAGTGAGGTCTCCGGTGGGATGCTCAATGGAGAAGAGGAGAAAATAGGAGGGACTTCGGAATCTCAAATGACCGAAGGAAATGTAATTTTGTCCATTTGTGTTCGGTTCAACCGGATTCCTTCAATTAACGTGCAAACTGCAAACTCCCGTTAAGTTGGTAATTTTCTAAGTTGCAGATGTGTTCATTTCTGATTGATGGGTTCACGCTTCCGGTGAACCTATGGGTTCACAGAATGCGAGCTCAGACCGGACAGCTTGCGAGTAGGCTCGATGACACGCTTACACCGCTACTAGCTACCTACGTATGCGGGTTTGATAGAGCAGGATCAACGCGTCGCAGGAGGTCCATTGAACTAACCACGTGAGAGATAAATAATGGGGTTTATCCCACGCCTTCCGATTAGGAGGCTATTACACCAACGCCAAGTAAACGAAATGGGATTTGCTCTGGCACCGACCTCAGTCACATCCCACCGTCTATTAGGAACATTTCCCATGATACAAGTACATTCCACCGTCTATTAATAACATCTCCCACAAGTTTGGAAATGTTTCCGATGTATGATTGAGACATGCTGTAAGGTCGGTGTGAGGAGCAGATCCCGATTCCAAAAACCATGTCCGCCGTCATAATTAGAAAGAATGAGTTGGTCGGTGATGGTGAGGTTTTTTTTGGTAATAGGTGACGGTGAGATTGAGATTGTTTCAAAGGTTTGGAAGTGATCAGAACGCACATGCATTTTTAACCAATCAAACATCATCCCTTCCGTCTGATTTGATTCCCTATATTGGTCAAGGTAAACCTATATTATAACACAATACTAAAGTTGCTAATGCGATGGTGTATATGATTTTCTTTTTGGGTAGTGCGGGGTATATGATCAGGACCGTCCAATTGGTAGAAGCTTTGCTTGCGTGGCCCGCATCCGAAAAAATTCCAGCTGATTCAATGGGTCTATCCGTGTTATTATATTCATTTGGTCTATTGGGTGACGACTACATTTGCTTTTTCAATACAATATGGTACAATAAATCAATTTTATAGATAGACGGAAAGAGACAAGCAGTGACCAAACAGACCTTTGAAAATTGGATTAGTGATCTCTCTATATAAATAGAATACACCCAAAGACCAGGTCAGCCCTGGATAGAAGAACTGTAGAAGCGCCCCATCTTGTGGAAGAAGCCACAACCTCCGCAACTTCTTTTCTTTAACGCCTTTTCTTCCCAAAATAATTATTCACCTAACCTTGAGTTCTACGCCGTTGGATGAAACATATGTGATATCATAAGGTTGTTAGATGCTGATCCAGCGGCTCCAATCAATTGCCTATATTGCACCACGTGATGAGAGGGCCACCACATGAATGACAAAGCAACCAACAAGGCAACAACGATCGATCGATCCATAAGGAGAATACAGGGAAGAACGTGAAAAAGGAGCCTAAGGTAGGAAGGGAGGTGAATTATCGCGTGGACTGTGATCTACCAAATTATAATGGACCAAGTTGGATTAATGCATCACGAAACTTACTACAATGATCAAGGGTGATAAGGCATCGAACAACATTAAACTTGACAGGTTTTGAACACAGAATCATGATGAAACAACACGAACGGAGTAGCGTAAAAATAAACGAAAACCAAGATCAAAACGAACAGTGTTTTATTTTAATTTTCCCCGTTGCATCCAAYACAGGGGGGAGCTTCAGCCTTCAGCAGCGTACCCCCCTTCTCTCTCCTCTCTCTCTTCTGCTCATATCTTATTGTCTTTGAAAAAGGTCTCCTTTGACCATGAGCCCTGCTTTCTTCTCTTCTTCGTTGCCTTTGCTACAAACCTTCCTCCTCCCATCTCATCTCATTTCATGATTTTTCTCTGTCTTACTCTTACACATTATGATTAGCAGTTTCTATTTAGAAATTTGATGGTATTCTTCTCTGGAATCTGTCGCGGTTCTTCTGCCAATCATGGGGTTGTGCTTTTCAACCAGTAAGGTAAGTGGCTCAAGCAGCAACGCCAACAAATACAGCAACCGGGAAGAGAACAGGAAAACCTCTTCTAGAAAAAATTGCTCGTCGCGGCACCAGAAACGAAATCAGAGCCACAAGAATCGATCACACCAACAGCAACAAAGGAATTCTCAGCAGCATCAAAACAAGAATAACGTGCAATCGAGACGGCCGAGTGGGAGTACTGCTTGTGGGAAGCGGACCGATTTCGGGTACGCCAAGGATTTCGATCAGAGATATTCGGTCGGCAAGTTATTGGGTCATGGGCAATTTGGTTACACGTTTGTTGCCACTAATAAGGTCAATGGTGATCGGGTTGCCGTCAAGAGGATCGAAAAAAACAAGGTATGTTACGAATTGTTCTTCTTCTTCTTCTTCTGTCTTTCTGGAGATGCTTTATGGCTTTTTTTTTTTGATAGTTGGATGCTTTATGGCTTTTCGCGACCCAATTTCTGTGTTTCTGGCTTTCGGGGATGCTGTTAATTAAACTTGTGCCTTGGATTCTTGTAACATGCTTTGATTCCAAATTTCCAATACCATTAAAAGATTCGGTAGATTCTAAACCGCACCTTTGCACTCTCTCTCTCTCTCTCTCAATTTTTCTTAGATCTGTGATTTAAGTTGCATTTATCGATTTTGGCGGGAGTGAGTAAGCGATATATACCTCTCCTTCGGTTTCAGATTCTGCTTTCCAACCCACATGGCTGTTGGGAGGAGCTCTGGATTTGTTTCTGCAATTTAGACTGCTTGCCCAAATTATATAAGGTTGATAGGGCAACCTCCCCGCGAGGACCAGGTTCTGCAATTTCAATTTTAGTTGCAAATCTAGCAAGACGCTATTGTAGATTGTTACCTTATCACCTGTTTGAAATATCCAACCTAGCCTTGATCACCACCAACGTCTGCACATTAACCGTCACGTACATTAGGTGGATCAAATGGACAGTTTAAAGGTTAAACTATCAGTTTCAGTGGCAATTAGTGGGTTGGGTTATTGTTCATGCATATCCAGGAACCTATTAAATTGTTGTATATGGTATTTGGTCCTTTTTACGTTTTAATTTGCATTTTGGTCTAAATGAGTTTCCAAAACATCAAAGAATGCTGAAGCATCTTTCTGCCACAGCAATGGAAAAGAATGTCCACAAGAGATATCTCAGACTTCCTGAGTTCTTTCAATCACTTCTTTGCTATAGTTTGTGCATTGTAAGCCACCTATTGCCAGTCCCAGAAACTGTGGTTGATGAAAAGCAATATCATTGATCCTCAATAAATGTGTCAAACATGCATCTTACTGGAAAGTCCTGATACTCTTGTGGATTTAGAACTTATAAAAACCAGGCTAACTTAGCAAAGGACTCTTAACAACCAGCACAAGCATAAAGAACCTGGATTAGATTGTAGTTTTTGATCCGATGTCTTTTGATTGTACGAAGGGATAAAAGGAAACAAAGATAAGGAGAGACAAATGAATTATAACCACAACCTAAACCATTGTATAACCAAACAAAGATAAGGTAGAGATTCTTAACTTTTTCAATAAGTAACTAATTCCTTAATTTTGTCAACCAAGAAAACAAGATTCTTAATTTTTTGCTCTGTATTTTTTCTTTCTTCTTTGTCATCTCTTATTTTACATAAAATTGTAATAGAACTTTAGGTTACTAGTTCTTTGAAGCTAATAGCTGGTTTGGTTAATTAAAGCAACATAGATAGTCCAAATTAATAGACTGGATACCTCTTACTGTTTAATAATTTCAGCAGTTATTTGGTCCTAATTGTATATTCTTCCCCATGGCTATTTATCTAAAGAGTAACATGTCTTCTTTTTGATAACCTTAGAATTAGAGTAAACACATACTTTTAAGTGGCAGGGTTTTTTTTCCTACTAGCTTCTTTTGCTAGGCAGTGATTCAATGATTAGTTGAATCAATGGCCAGAGTGATGAAGGAGAGATTTTTTTGCTAGTCAATAGTTCAACTGAATAAGTAGTTTTTTTTGGCTTGTCTTTGTTCTCTCTGCAGTCTGGTTCCATCTGCCCTTAATCAGCTGTTCTTATGATTATTGGTCTAGGGGTGGTTAGTGGTTATAATAATTTTGTGTGGTGATTTGGTGATTCTACATCTAATATTCTTAATTCCAATAAAATGCTTTACCTTCTTTGCTAATATTTTAAAAACATTGGTGGCAGATGGTCCTTCCTATTGCTGTTGAGGACGTTAAAAGAGAGGTGAAGATATTGCAAGCTCTTACAGGCCATGAGAATGTGGTTCAATTCCATAATGCATTTGAGGATGATTCCTATGTCTATATAGTTATGGAGTAAGTAGTGTTCTTTGTCTTGTATGGTTGTCTTCCATTCTTCAACCTTTATTTGCATTTAGGTAGTATTTCATCTTTGAGTATTACCTCTCTCTTCCTCCACTATTTTATTTTAATTGATTTTAATAGAAAAATATTTAGTTAATTGCTTGTACATTTTTAATATCAGGTTATGTGAGGGTGGTGAACTACTGGATCGGATATTGGCCAAGTAAGATTTAACTCTTTTAATATAAGACTTCTCAAGTTTTGTCCTCTCTCTGGGAAACTGTGAAAAAAAGACACATGCATGTGCAATTATATGTTGCCTAGTCTTCTAAGCAATTTCATTTTCTGCTCTGTGCTTGTCTTGTTCATGTTACCATCTCTTAGTAAATTTGAGTTTTTCCTTTGTAGGATGCACTTGTTCCATGATTTTAATCACCCAAAATAGCATATCACCTTATTGTTATTATTATAATGGTATTAATTATGGAGTTTTTTTCTTCATTCAGAAAGGATAGCCGTTACACTGAGAAAGATGCAGCAATAATAGTGAGGCAAATGCTCAAAGTTGCAGCTGAGTGCCATTTACATGGATTGGTACATCGTGACATGAAACCTGAGGTAAACACAGAGTGCACAAACACTGTAGATGTAGTTCATTCTACATAAAACTGCCTATGCTGAGAAATCTTTCCCCCTTTGTTTGTCTTATTTGTAGAACTTTCTTTTCAAATCAACCAAAGAGGACTCACCCCTGAAGGCCACAGATTTTGGTCTATCTGATTTCATAAAACCGGGTCAGTAGAAACTTTACAAGAATGATAATATTTCTGCTGCTTTTAGAATGTGATAAAAGAAACTTCTTTTCTTGTAATTTTTTCTTGAACCTTCAATTGCTATACACAACAAAATATTATGTAGAATTAATTGGGTTTTAATGCATATAAGTTAATGTTTAAATATTGAAGTTATAAAAAGGTTTCCTTTTCTATCTTGTCTTCATAAGAATTTCATTTTTGCCAAGAAATTCCTTTAGTAATCTATGACCATGGTTAGAACAACACCTTGCTCTCTTTGGTGTCGGTCATTTGTTTTTGTAGATCAAGAAGTTCTTACTTGAAGATCAATATATTGTACTCTTAATTCACATGACTGATGATYTAATGCAGGAAAGCAATTCCAAGATATTGTTGGCAGTGCATACTATGTTGCACCAGAAGTATTGAAACGCAAGTCAGGGCCTGAATCTGATGTTTGGAGTATTGGTGTCATTACATACATTTTGCTCTGTGGCAGACGCCCATTTTGGGATAAGACCGAGGATGGTATATTCAAAGAGGTATAATACATTTTGAGGCTGAGATTTTTAGTGCATCATTCTTCTCTACTGATTTTTTTTCTTATTCAAAACAATCAGTACAGATGCAATTTTAATGCACTCATCCAGAGACTATGTGCATATAGACTTGTTTTACATTTTAATTGCTTGTCTTAATACATCAATGCATCCACACCTTTAGGTATTATTCTTTTATTTTGGATTTTTGGTCACCATTCCATAACATTATTCAGCTCCATTCCTTTCATAAATGATTTTACTATTGTCTTTAGTTCTTTTGCCTATAATCAGAAAAGTGAATCTCCCATGCTGTGATGAACTTATATTAGGCATCATATCTAGGGCCAATTCTCTGGCCCTAGATAATTTATCTTTCATTCTCTATGCTTGTTTTCCCTTGATTATGCAGCAGATTGATTCGAATATGTTTCCTTCTACCTAGAAAGGGTTAAAAAGGCTGAAAACTCAACCTTAGCTTAGAAATTTAGTCAGGCATAAGAAAAGCAATTGCAAGAGCAACAAGCCTTACCTTGGGGATGCAAGTTGGAACTTGGCTTTACCATCTTCAAAGTGAGTTTGTCTCAGGCATGCTCTACATAACTTGAACCTAAGCCCAGCACACGCCAATATGGTTGGGATTAACTGGTTTTACTAATATGATAGGGCACTGCCTAATGCATCTGGAGATATAATTTTTATTGATCACCAAAAGAGGATTTTTATTAATTTAATAATTTAATAACAGGTTACAAGTACTTTCCAGTGTATAACAATATTGAAAGGTCCCAAATACAATGATCATCAACCCTCTTTTTTGGCACAGCCAGCTACAGTTTTGCCCAAAATAGAGAAGGCCTATCAGTCAGCTCCCTGTTTTTCTAGAGTGTCTGCCATCTGGAGATATAAATTTTATTATGTAAATAAAAAACAACATTAAACATGTTATAAGAGAACAAAATTAAAAGGAAAATGTTCATTAATGGGAAGAAAATTTGAGAAAGCTAAAAAGTATAAACAAAATTTGTGCTTTTGAAATTGGAAAAGAAAGTAAGTATTAGATCAAAATGTGAAACAGAGCAAAAACCAAGTCGTGATTTACTGTTTATTTGTCTAACATTAAAAAAGCACTAAATTATAAACTAGATGACGGATGGAAATAAAACAAATGGGACAAGTAAAACATCAATTAGAACAACCACTTAAGAATTATTTTAAATTGCAGTCCTAAACCCATCCTTCTGCTCGAGGTTGTGTTGGTCATGATAAAAGCCCTAAGCCTGGAAGGAAAATAGAAAGGATACCAGGAACACGAAACAGGGTTCTGGTTTCTTTATTATGTTTTGATCAAAATAGCATAGTTTAGAGCAATTTAGGTATTGATTTTGCTCATATGGTAGATCATTTGGACTACAATATGAATATTATATGCATTCTTTTCAGGTCTTAAAAGGTAAGCCTGATTTTCGCCGGAAGCCATGGCCAAGCATAAGTGACGGTGCTAAAGATTTTGTTAAAAAGTTATTGGTGAAGGATCCTCGTGCAAGACTGACTGCTGCTCAAGCCTTGTGTACGTTTCTTCTCTTGAAAAATTTAAATTCTGTAATTGCACTACATGTTTGGTTTTGTTGTTTTCTGGAGAAAGAAATGCATTTACTTTTTAAGATTTTTCTTTCCATGTCTGATATTTAACTAGTTTACTTGCTCATCACACTGATGGATTGTCATTTCTACTTTGTGCAATTTTTCCAGCACACCCATGGGTTAGAGAAGGGGGAGTTGCCTCAGAGATTCCTCTGGATATATCTGTACTATCAAACATGCGGCAATTTGTGAAGTATAGCCGGCTGAAACAGTTTGCACTAAGGGTAAGCAGTTCTTTTGGTTGTAATCCATTCACATGAGGACCAATTATTATTACTGGTCATCATTTGACACCTTTAAATCTCCAATGTTTTTTTTTTCTGGTTTTCTTTTTGAATGGTAAAATTTGCTATCATTGATAAAATAAATATTTATGCTTCTTTCTTACAGGCATTGGCTAGTACACTTGGTGAAGATGAGCTGGCTGATCTCAAAGATCAGTTTGATGCAATTGATGTGGACAAAAATGGTGCTATTAGTCTTGAAGAAATGAGACAGGCATGCTTTCCTTCACATTTTTATGCGTCTTGTATAGAAATTTGATATCAGGCTATACATCACACAGTGCATGTAATTTGAATTCAGTTCTTTTAATCTACTGTACTTGTTTGTTTTATTAATATAGGCCCTTGCAAAAGATCTTCCTTGGAGATTGAAGGGGCCACGAGTTCCCGAGATTGTTCAAGCGGTAGGTTAATTTCCTTCAATTTACTAATATGTATATATTTCAATTCCTTCTGTGGCTCCATATATGATGTTCTTGTTACTTTCTTCAAGTTCTTTTCTCACTACCAATCTAGGGTTTCCATTCATCATGTTTGAAATGATAATGATCTGTTCTGATTGAATTCTAGAATAATGAAATGTTCTTAGTATTAATGAGTTCAAGAATAGTCTCAGTCCTACATCCATCCCAGCCAATTTGCACTGCACAGTCTTCATGCTCATGGTGCTCTAAATTATTTAGGAAACTTATGTCTTTAACTGTATTGGAGCAAAATTTACCTTGTATTCCTGAAAATAACCTATCAAATCCAATTTCTTTATTGTTTATTTTGCATTATTTTCTTTAATAAGCCTTGTCCTTTGCAAAATCTTCATCTATGCTAAAATTCCATTTGCTGAGCTTCTCATCCTCCATTTCATTTTCTGCTCCCTTTTCTTGAGGCAGATTGATAGCAATACAGATGGGCTTGTGGATTTCTCTGAATTTGTTGCTGCTGCTCTGCGTGTGGATCAGTTAGAGGAACATGATTCTGAGAAGTGGCAGCTTCGATCTCAGGCAGCTTTTGAGAAATTTGATGTGGATAGAGATGGATTCATTACACCAGAGGAACTAAGGCTGGTTAGTATTGAAGTTGACACACACACTCTCTCTCTCTCTCTCACTCTCACTCTCTCTCTCACACACACACACACACAGATGGGCCCAGATACGAAGGAACTAGAAAACTACATGCACAAATCGATAAAATTTAAGTTTTTTTCCTTTTTAGTAAAAAGAAAATAATGGCCACCAGCGGAATACGCTGACAATAAGCATAAATTTTTCTTGTAAGTTGACTTTCATGATAAAGCGTCAAATCTCAAATGTCATATGCCACAGATCAACATCCTGCACACTCATTAAGGTTATGTTTAGTACAATTGTTGTTTCTACCTGAAACGTCAATACAAATTGGCATACAATTGTTATTCAAGGCTTTTTATAGTTGAAACAGGCATGCCTTAAAAAYGCGTGTGTGGAAGGCTGTTATGTATTTCAGTACGATACAGGGCTAACCCACGGAAACCCCAAATAAGGGGTGTTTCGGAATTTGACCACACTTAGGGAGTAGGCATGCCTAAAACGGACCCCCTGAAACAATTTTGAAAAAAAACAAAAAAACAAAAAAGAAATGTTATCAAGTATCGGAACACCGATAGACCTGTTCTTGTGTATCGGGTGCATCGATACTTTAAATCATGGTTTAATCATTCTCTAGCTGCAGTGACCCATCCCTCACCAATTTGTATTGATTAACCCAAAACGTTCCAGATAGAAACAGCAAAGGCATAGGAAAGCATTTGAAGGGTTGGTGCTGGAGAATCATACATGATACTCTTGGGTTAATTATTGCAATAGTAGGCTTCATTATGTGGATCCACGTTTTTCTGTACTTCACATCCCCCAAGCTTCACATGTCAATTAAACAATCCTACTGGTTTCCCCATCAAAAAAAATGCTATCCTGGAACATGATAAATACTACCAACGATTAATCTTTTTTCTTTTATAATTGTATATAGCACACGGGATTGAAGGGTTCCATTGAGCCACTTCTTGAGGAAGCTGACATCGACAAGGACGGGAAGATCAGCTTATCAGAATTCCGTAAGCTTCTAAGAACAGCTAGCATGAGTTCACATAATGCACCTGGCCCATCTGGTGCACGAAATTCTCGCAAGTTGTAGATTTCAAGTGATGAGTTAAAAAAGTTTAGGGAATTAGAGAGGTAAGAGAACGGTCAGAGGTGAAGCAGGACAGGAGTCCTTTTTTTTCTGTAATCTTACTAGAGGATGGCACTTGAACCCAGGTGGCCTCATGTTCTTGCATCGCCACTCATCCTGAAGACCTCTGCTGTAAATGAAGTTTTCTGTTGTATCAAAACTGGCTCGCAGAAACAGTTTTGGCAAAGAGAAAATGCTTATAAAGAGTTGGTGGAATATTTTTGCCTTTTTAGCTGTATATCCTTGGGCTTTTTTGATCGTTCTCTGCAATGTACTGAGTCATATAAATTTGATTTCTCAGAATCAGAATCCACTTAACTTGTTTATGTACTTATTTTTCATTATTCCAATTTTAATACTAACCAATGATACTATTTCTTTTTATAAGTTCAAGACTAAAGGCCTATTCATTTGCTCTAAAGTCTGACATCTGAAAGTGCAATAATTACATTAAGAGATATATTTGGTGAACTATTTTTTTTCTGAACTATTAAATGCAGAGAATGTTGTTCTGAATTCTGAAAATTATTAAATATCCATTTTAATCCTATATATGAGAGTTTTTGTTTGTCTTTTTAGGGTATCATTGGAAAACAAACAGTTGTATCATTGTAATTTAAGAGATAAGAAATAAAAGGAAATGAATAACCATTTTTCTCTTAAAGTTAAAAGATTCCTTTTAAGAAATAAGAGTTAAGAGGAAATGAACAAGCCCTAAATTCAAAACTTGTGGCTAAACGTGGATGATCCAAGTTAGAGACGATGTGCATATGGTTCAAAGTATTGATAGGTATCGTATTGTATCTTTTGGTCCCCGATACACCTGTAATTTAGAGATCCATTTTTTTAAATAATAGTATATAAAAATATGTTTAAACTGAAATTTGAAAAAAAAAAACTAAAAACATATAAGGAGTATGGTTCAAAGTACCGATACATCTCTACTCATAAAAAAGAGTATCGATATACCTTTGCCAATGCATAAAAGGTGTATGGATACTTTGAATCTTGGATGTGTATTGATTGGCCATGTATTGGTTCAAGTGAACTGTCAATGTTGATACATTTTTTCCTTTTTTTTTCCCTATTCATAGGCATGCTGATACAGTTTCCTATTACCATTAATTTCAAGCCATTAGTCTTTAAGTCCTAATTAATATGGCTGTTGCCAGGGGTTATTTGGCTTTTAAGTCTTCTCAAGCAAGAATATTCACCGTTATATCTGTTTTATTGGTTTCATCAAGCAATAATATTCAATTATTAGCACAGCGCATGATAGTGAAGTGGAGGAGAAATTTGAACTGAAAAGTAAGACAAAAGACGAGAGATAATTGAGTATATGTATGTATGCATGTATCAAGTCTATTCATTGTATACTCATAAACCCAATTATCGAGTATGTATCAAGTTTATTGATTGTATACTCATAAACCCAATTATTGAGTGGGTTGGGTTTGAAACTTTGAATCGACCCGGCACAAGGTGCTCCGGCTCCCCTATCATTGGGTTAACCCAATAAACCCAATTAACAGTAGGATCAGCTCATGGTCTATTGCTCGAAACTCAAAAGTCCTGTGGAATATGAGTTATAAGCAGCTGTTTGATAATGGCTATTTGGTCGAAATCGGGTCACCCCTTGTTCAATCCAATATATGTTATATATTATATATGTGTGTGTTATTTATTTATTTATAAATATATTATTTATATTGTATTTTTGTAAATTTGTTATATTATTAATTTTTTTATAAAAACATGTATATATGATGATGAAAATAATTAAAAAAATACTTGTATTTTTTGTTTTTTTCTTTATTTAAATTGGTATATTTTATTTTTCTTTTAATAATTTATTATTATTTAAAGAAAACAGGTCAAATCAGATCAGATCTAAAGATCTGACTTACCGATAGGATTCGAATTCAAATCAATGCCTATCAGATCCTATCAAATCTTCGGATCGGATTGGATCCAACATGAACAGTATCAGATCATATTCAGATATACCCTGATTCAAATCTGATCTGATCCGTTTGCATCCCTACTTCCACGTGTTCAATCCTTTTACCTTTAAAGGCTAGAAATGCCCAATACAACATTTTCTTGTTTTTAGAGAAATGTTGCAAAGAGGTCTTTTAATTCCTTAATAAATTTGAACAGATGATCTATATCCACCATTTAACTGATCTCATCTGATCATGTAGGTGAAAATTTTATATAATTAAGTAATTGCTGCTAGTAATTAAACTTCTATATTACATTACCATTGGTTCCACAACCAGCTGAACAGCCATCGCATTCAGCTAATCCCAATTCAATAGTCTGTCCTGATCTAAATTTTGACGACCAACTTAGAACCAGCCACTTGCGGCCTTGCACTCTCATTTCACCGAGCCTCTGATCTAAAATGGCAAATCCTCTGAAAGGCAGTTTGAATGTGAGGCGTGCTTGTTATTTGTGTTTGATTTTGGTTAAACACCTGACATCAATCGAACTTTGGGAACTCCTCAGTCTTGCCTTGGTTATGTTTGTACTTTGGCCTCATTCATTTGCTTATATCTTAATAAGTTGGTCAACCGAGTAATTGATCAACTTTTTTGCATTTTTGCACTACGTTACCCAGGTACCAAAAAATGAACCAGGCCCTTTGTAAGTTTGTAGCAAAAGAAGCTTGATCGGATTGAATGTGTTGGAATATATTCCCTCTTTGTTACGTGGAACATGTTAAATCATTTCTTTGTGAGCTTGAGTGGGTATAAGTCTAAAATAAAGGCTGGTTACAGATAGAATACATGCTCGAGCATTTATGCCAAAGCCGACCATATCTCTTCACCAAACTGCTTTTACCATCTCTATATAATTCTTTCTCATCAGTTCTCACACTGAAAGATCTCTAGTTAGGATACAAACATGGGCTGGTTTTATACTCAAAGAAGGGGTCCTGAGTGGAAACAAGGGTGGACTGGCCGGACCTTGGGCTCCATCTCTGCTCCTCCACCTCCTTTGCTCGTCATCTTCGCTATCGTCATTCTATTCCTTTCGCTCTCTCGGTATACAGACTACAGGGCCCAGATGCAGCACGCTATGATTAGCTTCCAGTTTCTGCTTTTCCTGCTGCCCGTCGTATTGATCTTCGTCGTTCGGTCCATGGCCACCAACGGGAGATTCGTGCTTCGACTACCACGTCCAGAACACGATTCAATTCATCGAGTGGGGGGCTCCCCTTGGGGCGTTGCAGCGTTGGTGGTTGTTCTTCTGGTGATGATTTCTTACCAGTCGTCTTTCCACTCGCACTGGTTTCGACCACTGTGGAGATCAGCTTAATATAATCCTCCCTGTACAAAATTTTACATAGTTTGTACGCTGAAGTCCTGATTTTTCTTGGGTGTCCTTTCTGGGCTTGAGTTTTCTCGATCGGATGGTATTTTATCTGCTTGTCTAGGAACAGTTTCCTGTATCTATATCCTGACATAGCTTTTGTTCAGATGTTACTTTTGGCGTCATGATACAACTATCAACTAGTGCAAATGTGAACCGGGCACCATCCGATGTTCATAAATTTAATCCAGTTTACACAATCAGACAAAAAACAGTGTAGAGAAAGAGAGGCCTATTTCACATTTTGTTTGGCTCCATCAGGGACTCTCCAAATGCATGCAATTGACCACATGGCACCGTTAGGGGTAGGGGTGTTCCCAACCGAACCGTGGGCTTATTTTTTAAATCCAATCGGGATACCGGTTTTTAGAAAATTGGTAATCCAACGAATTGAAGCCGATCAGTTAACCATCAATTTGGTTTGTTAGTTTTTTATTATTTATAATATATATTATAGAAAAATATTTAAATATATAATAAAACATTATAAATATATATAATATTATATTTTAAATGATAAATAATATATTATATATTATAAATATTTATTAAATTATAATATATAGAAAATATAAAATATATATATACCAGTCGGTTCGATTAATCACTAATTTTTTTATTTTGATTAACTGAAACCGAAATGGTACCTTCGGTTTTTTTCCGGTTAACCAAATTTTTGGTTTGATTTCAATCAATTTTTTTGATCGGTTCGATTTTCCAGTTTTTTTTGCTTGTCCCTAGTTAGGGGATTAGGTATTCCACTAACCACTTGATCCATAATCACTGAGATTAGCAACTCATAGCAATAAAATTAGAGATGCAACTTGGATTTGTTCCTCACTGCGCCTCACACCATCCTCATAGAGCATCACAGGCGTGTATTAAGAACATCTCCCATACATATGTTATCATTCATGGGAAAATGTTCCCAATACAGCTGAAATGCGCTATGAGGATGGTGTGAGACGTGCTTTGTGAGATGCAAATCCGAACTCGATGCAACTTGGGTGTGTTGCCCAAGGCTAACCTAGAAACAAGCTAAGACTTAGGAGTTAGGGCCTATTTGAGAGGGCTGAACTGAAGATAAGCTTTGGTCCATCTGTTAATAGCTGCTCAGTGGGCTGTGGAACCAATAATAACTTCCCATGCCATTGATAAAGCCCAAGGGGTATACAGTGAACAGATACTGCATTCACAGCTTACACTTTCTCCTCTTAAGAAGGCAGATAATCTTGATAATTCACTCGGCCCAGAAACATGGAAAGCCAGAAAACTTTGCTCTTCAGCCCTCCCAAACAGTCACTTAGACTTTAGGTCCAATCCCAGCCCAGCCTGAAGTAAGGAGTTCGGATCTGCTTGCCACGCTCATCCAGCTGTGCATTGAGAATATTGGTGGCACAATATAACCAATGCTCCATAAGTGTGGCTGTATGAACGTGGACGGCAGATCCGGACTCTAAAACAAGTTTCAAAATAATTTAGGGATAAATAGACTACACTCCACCTCAGAATTCTGAATTCCACTGCAGACCTACAATAATTCAAAATTTCAAACACCTTCACCTAAACACCAATGCCCGTTCATGTATTGGCACCAATTTCGATCTGGCACCTATCCCAACTGTACGGTAGAACTAAGATTTATAGGGATGGACTGAACAATAAAAACCCCTTCGATTTATCGATACTCTGGGTATGCAAAAATTCGTGTATCCAAAGTTTTTTTTTTTTCAGTTTGACAAATTCAAACATGTGTATATGAGGATAAATGTTAATGTTTAAACACATTAAATAGCCCTAATTCTCAGTATTTATCATTTTAGTGAATTTGAAAGCTGATACGCATCATATGATATGCATCAATACTTTGCATATTTTGAACATTGGCCCGAGATCAAAGCCCGAATTGACCAGTGTCCAGTGAGCTTGCATTTAGGTTGGGCCAGGCTTTGTTAGGCTCAAGCTACTTAGAGGCCAAACCCTAGTCTAGAGCCCAAAAAACAAAACCTAGCTGAGCCAACCCATGCAAAATCTAGTCATGCTCATGTTGGACCCCTCTCTTACCATTCGAGAGGTGAGTGAGGAGACTTGGCTTTTGTTTTCCTTTTCCTTTTTCTTTCCGGTAGGAATGGGGGTTAGGTGTCTTATATCTAACTTAATATTGAAAAGGACCTATGTGATTTGGAAATGCCCTTTGGTCTGTGTATTGGTAGCTTTGGTGTATTTATTACTTAAGAACATTTTTTGGGGTTCAAAGCTCCATTGCTCGTTTTGAGACCTTAGACTTATTGGTTGGAATATTGCTATTATTTCTGGATTTAGATGCCTTCAAATGGATGAAATGGGTCAAGAGCTAGCTTGTAAGAATCCTCAACTTATTAGCAGCTGTAAGGGAAATATGGTTCCGTTTAAATGTTGTCAACACCTTATATATAGATAATGCAATTCTTGATTTTTCTTCTTGTTTCACTTGCAAAAATCCAAAATCCATGAAGTAATTTCAAACCCCAGTTTGTTTTCCAAATAGCTATACACAAGAAAACATTAATAGAAGAATAGAGAATGGAGACGTAAATTAATCTCTTCTTAAAACCAAAAAAAAAAAATTGCCAGTCACTGAAGTTTGAGACGGAGGTGAATCAAAGTATCAAACCACATACAGACAAGAGAACGAGAGAGAGAATTTTAGTAACTACTCCGTTAATCATTTTATACACTCATCTCGTTTTTCTATTAGTTTCACAAAAAAGGAGAAAGATAAAAAAAAAAAGCAAGTGATGAATCGTTAACCACGTTTGATCAATCAAAACAACAATCCCATTATGTGGGCAGACATTTGCACAGTAGTATACAACAACCAACTCCACAAAAAACACGAAACACTGAAATATATAGATATATTTGAGCTAAAGGTGAAAAGATRGTTTAATTTAAGGATAATCTATCATCTATATATATATGAATCAGAAATCACAAATAAAAGAAAATAAAACTTAAAATTGATTTGATGGAGTTTATTGATCAGTTCAGACATCAGACAGACCAGTTATCAAGGAAGGTAGATTGGTAAGAAATCATGATAAGCAACAAGACGATGACTGCCGCCACGATCCATGGAGAAGTACCCTCAGACGGTTGATGATGGGATCTCCTGCGACGATCAGCAGGAGAGGTGGCAAATAGGAGGTGGGGATTGTCTATGGACGACAACCAGTGGAGAGCAACGAGTAAGACAATAGGAACGGCCATGAGTGCCCAACTCATCTTCTCCTCCGCAGCTTCTACTGCTGATTCATAGGAGAAGTACCAGGAGGTGCCCAGAAAGATGAAGAGCACCGCTAAAATTAGCAGCACTGGATATGGCAGAGGATTTAGAGTAAACACCTCCAAAATAGAGGAGGTTTGGCTTCTCTTCCCGTAGGCCATACTCAATGGAGCAAGCAAGAGATTTCAGGTTTCAACTTTCAAATTCTTGGGTCTATCAATATTTATGCCACAAGAGAAAGTGAGGAACCCACTATGGTGATTGGGTGTGTGTTTTCACGTAGCAAAATTAGTAGTATTAGATCTTCCTTCTATTCTTAATTTTCAAGTAATTTATTTATGGAAGAAAAGTAGAAATGGTTGGGCAAAAGAAAGCCGCGTATTCCCTTCTAGTACCACCCTATTTAGAAGGTTAATAATATGAGATCCAAATCCATTGCCACCTGGCTAAAATAATTAATGTATGGAAATTAAGGGTAAAAACCAATTAAGGCTTGTGTAATTACTAGACAATATACCCTGTGGCCCCACATTTCTTATTACCTGTAATGTCGAATGATGTGATACAATGAATTTGGGGATCAGGGATGCTTCCTAAACCTCCTGTTAACATCAAAGCTTTGTGCCACCTGCTACGGCCCCAATTTTAATTTATTCTCTCACAACTATTGAGCTTAATTAACATTCTATATTATTTAAAATGCAGTATCCACATCACCCTATTCTCTATCTTCATATTGCTTTTCAATTCTCTTAAAATTTTGTGGTTTTTTTAATTAAAAAAATTAAAAAAAAAAATCAAACAATGAAACTATTTTTTCCTTTTTTTCCAATATTTATTTTTAGTGAGCCCCCAATCTAAGTCTCACAATAAAAAGATGATTAGAACAAGGGTATGTGTGTSTGGATCTTGGTTGCTCTCCTCTTACTCTGGACTCTGGAGTAGGTAAGGGTTAACGTCTCTTGTCTTGTTATAAATGTGTTCATTTTCAAACAATGGTCGTTGTCTTTGTTTGATTTGGATTTTGCTAATTCAATCGGTTTCTACTTTCTTCTAATGTTGGTCCTCGTGTCAAAGGAAAAGTATTAAAAAAGTGAAATGCTATGTCAAGGTTTGCTGAACGCGATGGCTGTTCAGGGGGCTGTGGAACTAATTATAAGGTTTTATGCCAGCAATAAAATACATGGGACCCATAAGTTTATAAATTTATTACTGGTATACTGGTATAGAATTTCATCAATTTTACAGACTGTTGAACAGCCATCGCATTCAGCTAATCTGAATTCATTTATAAACTTTAGTCCATGTTATCATGTTTGATTAGATGACGCTTTCTTTTCTATTGAAATTGAAAAAGATATTTGTCAACAAAAAATTGAGAAAGATATCCACATGATCTTACGCCCCACGTATGAAAGGAAAAATCCTTGACTGATTGAGAAAAATAGTGCTTGGGCTGTTCGGGAGCTTCCTCTGCATATTTCATTATTTTATTCATTATCCAATTTCTTATTTGTCTTATTGGCTAAAAGGGTATTATTGCAAATAAAATCAGGAGAAAAAATGAGTCTGGATTTCTTATACTTGTTTTGCTTCCATGTGTGTTGGGGTGGAGATAGAATTTGCTCCTCACATCTGGCGCATCACAGGTGCCTCACATGTACATACTATCATGCATTGAGAACATCTCCTGTACTTATTAGTTATTATTCATGGGAGATGTTTCCAATGCACGGTGGATGTGTCTGTAAGGCACCCATTTGTGAGGAGCAGATCCGTCACATTAGGGTGCACTTCTAATCAAATAGCAGCACGCCAAACTTCACTTGACACCCTCTCTATGTTTTAAAAGTGCAAAGCACAAAAAAAAAAAAGTACAAAAGACAATTTGTTCCCAAGATGCAAGTGCAAGGTGAGGCGTTTGTCTTTTTTTAAGTAAGGTGCAAAATTTTTAAAAACAAAAGCCAAAAAAAAAAAAAAGAAACACAAAAAAAATTAAAAATATATTAAACATAATATCAATAAAAATTATAAATTTAAAATTTAAAACAATGTTTTAAAAACCAATTATATAAAATTAAAAATACATAAAAGACCGATGTATTTTTAATGTTTTGCTCAACTACAATTTGTAGAGAGGTATCTGGCCCTATTTTAATGTTTTGCTCGACTACAAGAATTTATTGTTTTGAGAAGTGGTATTTTTTCGTTTCTAAGAAACAGGTATCTCTGGCCCTATTTTTCCATCCAGAACGGAAACGGATTTTGAGAAACAGATTCTGCCAAATGTCATTCCCATCCTGAGAATGAGAAGAATTAAAAGAATTACTCATCCGATGTGATGCCAAACAGGGCCTAAATCTTTGAAAGATCTGAAAGCACAGGGTCTCCTGACCAGCCTGTAGATTTTGGAAGCAATATCCTTCAGCCAGAGTGGAAGACCCCTATACTCGGATTGGATAATTGGACTTATGACTTCTGCTCAACAAATAGGAATGCCTAAATCAAATTTTAACCATTTGAGTACGAATTCTGCTCAACAATAGAAAAGAACTAGGAACACACCTCTGTTCGTTCCATTTGATCTCGGAGAAGAAAGCTTCAGCCGATTGCATGTTCTATCATCATCGTATTTGCAAAGGGAGAAGAAACCCAACTTTATCTGAACGGGAAAGTACTAAACTCCCTATCCATTGTGACTTCCTCCATGATCTATTCTATATAGTAGAATGATCTGATTAGTTTACCCTTGAAACATATGAGAAACACATGTCTGATTTGTTCCTTCCTTCACATTAGCAGAACCAGACCCGAATCGTTAAAATCCCTTCTGTCTGAACTAGCTATTTAACTTCATTTGTTAAATTGTCATTCATTACTGATTCAATATTACTATATAGTCTTCAAAGTTCAAACTGAGGGTTATAATACCGTATTGGGAGTGCACATATAGGTGGATTCGCTTAGCTCCTCAGCTGCAATCAATGCTGCACCACTTTCTTCTCAAATGTGGACTTACAGTTTCCTGGGCCTTAAAATTAAGCCCATTTGGCTAGCCGCCGGCCAACGAGACCATATTCTCCAAATTGTCGAAACGTAACAGAGAGATAATTGAGTACACATATGGCATATTTATTTAATTATAACCCTATATATGCTATTACCCCTTAATTAAATAATATAGCCAAACATTCAACATAAGCATTACGCTCAACGGAGACGTTACAAAAGACTATCTGATCATCATCAAAGGGAAGAGATGAATCGACTATCAAACCATAAGAAACAAAAAACTAGTGTGAAGGCAAGTTTCTTAGGCGAAAATTTCGTCGATGCCCTTGTTTTTGCTTTCCGCTTCCAGCTTAGTAGCCTTTTCCAGCTCTTCGATCTTTTGCTCCTTGGCCAGCTTCTTCAGCCTCGCAAGCTCCAGGTCCTTGCTCATCTTCCTTCGGTACATCTCGGCGAATGTGATGGGCTCTTCCAGGATTGCCTTCTCTCCTTCCTTGATCTTCAGTGGGTACACAATTGCCTCTGGAGCAGGGTTCTGGAATGTTGCAATCGACAGACGGCTGCTGTTGGAATTAACAACTGCCTGGTGATCGGCGTTCTTGAACCTCCCATTGCTCAGATACTGTGCACAATCAAACGATACTTATGAACAGAGCATAGCAAGTGTTGCAAGTGGGAACTGTGAATTAGGCTAGAACTTACGTGACCATGGTCGCCAAGGTTGACGACGAATGCCCCCTCGACGGGCTGAACAGTGATCCATGTCTTTCCCCCATCCTTTGTAGCTTGAAGGCCTCCGACCTGGTCCTGCAGAAGAAGAGTAATGGTGCCGGGGTCGGTGTGTCGCTTGAGGCCGAGCGTGAGGTTAGGCTGCGGGCATTTGGGATAATAGTTGACGACCACCTTTTGGTCCATGTCGACGCAAGCCTTAGTAAGGGCTTCTGTTTCAAGCCCCATCGCCTCCGACAGCACCCCCAACAACTTGCAGGCCAGTTCCATGAGCTTCTCACTGTATTTCTCGGTCACTTCCTTCCACCCCTCCGGCTTGTCGGGCCACCTCGAGTAGTCCCTGGTGCGAAGTGGGTATGAGAAGTAGGTCACGATCTCACGCCAGTCCTGCACTGCCTCTCCCTGCAAATATCCAAATTCTTCTAAACACCCATAATATTACATGAGGAATTTGAGTCCAATTTCATCATTAGATGGTCGCCAGAATTTGGGGGGGCGATGATAATTTTTTTCCCATCGCAACCGCATCAGCTCTGAACTATGATGAGCTCAAAGAGGATGAGGGTGGACTGTTGTAGATGACCAATCCAATGGCTGCAACTTGCAACCGCACCTCTTGTCAATCCTTTTTGAGTCGCGTCCTTCAAAAGGACACGTATTCAGATTGAACTGAACGTCAGCTGAGAAAATTAGTTATTTAACGCCGCGCACCGCATGAATGTGTGAGAGGTTTGAATGATTGTGACCGGTGTGGCCGTGTGGGGCGTTGTAATCGGTTCACAGATGAGTCAAATGCATTGACAACACACAAGGCTGCAGATGACCTCTCAAGTACCAGAGTCTTACGATGGGCTGCGCAACCAATGTCTCAAATCAAAGTATAACTCACACAGACACAGTCTCTAGTACGTACCTGGAGGTGACTGGATACGATGAATCCACCCTTCTTGCCGCCGGTCATGTCGAATCGGAGCTTCTCCTCGGCAGGTAACGCGAAGAAGTCCCTGGCGAGGCGATTCATCTCGGAGATGAGATTGGCGTCCACGCCGTGATCAATTACCTGGAAGACCCCCCAGTCCTCGCATGCCTGCACGATTTTCTGGCAGATCTCGGACCTCCGACCGTCGGCCTCGTCAATTCCGGCGAGGGAAATCACGGGGACGTCGTTGCTGAACTGGTTGTAGGCCACCTTGGGACGCTCGTCTTCGTCTCGGACGAAAGACGACTGAAGCGTCTTCTCCTCCACCAGTTCCGTCAAAGTTGCAGGCTTTGCGGGTGCCATTGCTGCTCGCTGCTGTCCACTTCTTTTCTTTTTCTGGTTATTTTGGTTCTTTCTTTTTCGCTTCTTCTTCTGCGAAGAGTGATTGTCGATGAGCGGGGCGGGGCTACATAAATAAATATAGGTGGGAGCTGAAATTATTAACTTTCAGACTTGTGATTGTGAAGAGGTGTGGCAGCTCCATCTACCTCTCGTGTCACCTACCCTTCCCTTCGCCCCTCTTCTTTTCCTCTTCCTTTTTGCGTGTCACGGTTATGTTCAACATATATGATCGATCACACGCTCAATGTTCATGAATAGAATTGCCATAATACCCCTACAATCCTGGCCAATGCGTGTGGGATGATGAGGAGAAGAAACTGAGGCCTGAGGGTAGTTATGATCTTTTCCAAGTTTGGCATATAATTGGTAGAAGAATTCGTGAGTAGCTATTTAGCTAATCGTCCAGGCATTGAAGGAAAGAAGAGTAAAAACTAACAAGAGCAGTAAGTAGAGAGAGAGTGCGCTCCGATTCTAAATCCATATGCCTAACAACCAAACCACACGCTGTCATGTCAATCGCCCAGCTAACCCCTGAGAAGCTTCTTACCATAACACACACATATCAATCAAGCTCGGATCAGATACCCACACAATACAAGACACTCCGGTCGAACATCGAGAACATCTCTCAAAAATGACAACTGAGATGTTCCCGATATGCGGCTGCAGCGTCTAGTGGGTAGCATAGCAAGAGCAGAATTTCAACATGATGAGTTTTTATTATGTCGATATATTGCTATGGGTTAGAGAGCATCCTCTGATTCCCGTACGTGAGGACCCGGAATGTTAGCTATTGGTTGTTTAAATAACAATAGTATAATAAAGAGATGTTCCAATTTTTGTGGGTTGTCCCAATTTTTGTTCCACCACCTAACTCACTACTTACAACCGCACCCATGAACTTCTATTTGAACCTACCTTCTAGTTTATTTATTATTAAGTAAGGGAGATGTTTCCAAATCCATGGTAGGATGGTGCATTAAGTATACTTTTTTTGCAAAATAAGAGGGGAAATATGAAAACTAGGGCAGGTTTTCGTATTTATGTGAAACTATATTAGGGGTGTCTTAGTAAATGACCAATTTTTTCATATTATATATTACAGATTTACAGGGACCAGGATTAAGTCCCTGTTTGGAAGTGTTTATTGTAGGCAGTTCTTTGGGGAAATTACTTATTTTAGATCAGGAATACATCAATAAGCACTTATATGCATGGTTTTTGAACCGTTGTTGACCCAAATGGTCAGACCTAGATAATGGTTTTTAGTCATTTTTATTTTAATTTTTTTTTTATTTTTTTATTTTTTTAAATTGGAAGAAGCCATCCCTTCGAACCGAATGATCAAACCACTGACCTGGAAACTAGTGGCCAAAGCGATTCTGGTTTCCAGGTCGATTTTTAAAACATTGCTTATATGTGTTTGGTAAATAATGCCATTTTGAATAAGTTCAAAATTTTGACTTTTTTTTTTCAAGCACTTTTTGAAAATGCTCTTATTGTGTTATTGGGTTATCTTGGCCCACCACATAATTTTTAAAATGCCTATACTAGTTCTATTTTTTTTCCTTTTTCTAGTAATCATACTACCCAATGTTTTTAAATTGACGCTGACCCGAACAATCAGACCGTTCGGCCCGAGAACCGTCCAAGCAACCGGTTCCAACATGGTAGCAGAAGTTCATATTTCATAGCTACTGAGTGACCACCCCATGTAGGGGTTTCAATGGACTAGTTTTGGGTTGGACTTGTTCAAATTAAAATAAATTTTGATGGATTAGATGGACCAATAAGACATTGAATTGGACCAGTCCAGTTCAAAGTATTTATTGGATTGGATTGGACCTAGTCGATTCATGATGGTTTATATTGGATTGGCTCATATTGAACTAATATCCAGTCCATTGATACAAGATAGAATACAAGTGTCAATGAACCCATTTTCGGTTGGACTCTGTCCCAATCAAAATYAATTTGGACAGATTGGATGGACCAATAAGATATTTTGAATTGGGCCAGTCGAGTTTAAAGTATTTATTGGATTGGATTGGACCTGGTCCATTTGTAATGGATTTATATTGGATTTGGTCGGATTGAACCAATATTTGGTCCACTAATAGAAGATAAGAACACAAGTATCAATAGACCAAGTTTGGGTTGGAACCACTTTGAACTAGGAATGGCAACAGGGCGGGGCAGGGACGGGGCCGTCCCCGCTAACGGGGACAAGGTTATCCCCATCCCCATCCCCATAGGGATCCCCATTCCCCGTGATTTTTTATAATGTTAACCATTTTGTTTTTATTTTTTTATTTAAAAAATAAAAATAAATATCAGAAAAGATTCAAACATATTCAACCATATTTTTAAAAATATTAATATATAGATGTATGTGTACATATATACATATATAACGTATGCATACAAATATACATATATATTAGTGGGGATCCCACGGGGCGGGAGTGCACTCCTTGTCCTTGCCCCGTCCCCGCTAATGGGGTGAAATTTTCCCCATCCCTATCCCTGCGGGGGGAAAATCATCCCCATCCCCGCTCCATTCGGGGTAGACCCCCATGGGAATCGGGAAAATGGAAAAAATTATCATTCCTAATTTGAACATATTGAATGGTACAGACATTGAGTTGGACTGGTCCAAAATACTCATTGGATTGGTTTGGACCTAGTCCATCTATAATGGACTAATTCTACACCATATCAGATTGGACCAAATCTGATCCAATTGACACCCCTATCACATGCTGCCACTTCGGTAATGTTTGGTTCACTGCTTTAGGCCTCATTCTATTAATTCTAACTCATTCTAGGCAAAGCCGAAAATGAATAACATTAGAGTGTTTGGTTACAAAATTCTTGCCCAAAGCCACATTGTTTTTAAAATGAAAAATCAGCCTTATAGCATAAAACTGACTAGCCTTGCATGAAAAAATCATGCCCCATCTTGCTCATTTCATTCTTTGAGGAAACTCTACCTATAAAACTATTGCCATAGATGTTTACTTTTACGAAAGCAATTTTATAAAAGTCCTTTTACAAAAGTACTTTTATTTGAAAGCACTTTTATGAAAGCACTTTTACAAAAGCACTTTTGTGGAAGGACTTTTATGAAAGCACTTTTATGAAAGTACTTTTATAAAAGCAATAGAAGCACTTTTACGAAAGTACAAAAGCACTTTTAGGAAAGTATTTTTATAAAAAGCATTTTTACGAAACTACTTTTATAAAAGCACTTTTACGAAAGTACTTTTACAAAACATCTATGCCAATTGGTAAACATTGACTATTGGAGACCTAGGCTGACGGTTTGTGAATACCGGCACAATTTTTTTTTTTTAAAGAATGAAAATGAGCAACATAGGACACCTGTCAGTCTGAAAAGAATTCATTTTTAGGAAAAAAGTGTTTGGTTCATAGCAATATTTTCTCATTCTGCCTATTTTTATCCATTCTTTTCCATTTTAGAATTTCATCTTGGATAAGAATGAAAAAGAATGATAATTGAACTAAACATGTCATTCATTTGTCTTATTGTGCAGTGTTGCATTAAAACATCATAATTTCATGATTTAAATTCAGGCATTGTAACTCAGCCTATTAGAACGAAATACCAACCAGAGCTGGAGAAGAACAAAGATGTTGCCGCTGTCATTATACTTGACTGCCTCCTTCATCTCCTTTAAGGCCCCATTTGGTTTGTGGTAATAGGGGTCTGGGTGGAATCAGATTCGGAATGGGCTATTATGATTCCCACTGTTTAGTTGGGTGGAATTGAAATCTCATTCTCATTCCTAATGGAAGGGCGTTCTCCATTTGAGGGAATGGTCATTCCCTTCTCCTCCCTTGGAAATGAGATCCCATTCGTGTTGATTTCAATTCTCATTTCCATTCTTATTTGAATCAAAAGCTTATGAGAATAGATCATTCCGATTTCGATTCCAATTCCGACTTTAAATCAAACGGACCCAAATTTCTATACATACTACAACAGAGATGATATCATCGACTTCCGTTAGCTTTTTCTTGCAACCGCATTACCTTGCTTTTGCTTCTCCCCTAAGCTCTCCTTATTTTCTTTCAATTTTTAGATAAAAATATTTCAATAGAAAACAAGCCAAAAAAAAATCTTTCTCTAATATCAGCTCTCTCTTTCTCTCTGAGATCGTGTCTCAGACTCTCAATCCCTACCCTATCTCTCAATATCTTTTTTTTCCTCTGTTAACAATCTAAAAAAATCATTATTTTTTATTAAACCATAAACTGCTGCCCGGGTCGAACTGTTTAGCGGTTCAACCATCGAGATCAGGAACCATAAGGGTAATTTTGATATTTTATACAACTTAAAAGGTCGTCTGATGCATACATGACCATTTTCTGTCCAATTTTTCTGATAGAAAGTTAATGAAGGAGGATATTTGACATGAATTGGGATTTGATTTGCTCCTCACAGAGCGCACCTCACAGCCCAACCCCACCGTGTATTGGGAATCTCCTCATGAATAATAATACAAAGTATAGGAAGTATTCCTGATGTGCAACTGGGACATGTTGTGATGTTGGTGTGAGAATCACTCTGTGAAGAGCATATCTGAACTCATTTGACACATATGAAAGCTGAGTCCGGATCTACACTTCACATCAACCTCACAGCATGCATCAGCCACACATCAGGAACATCTCCCTTACTTGTATGTTATTATTTATGGGAGATGTTCCCAATACATGTGGGATGCGGCTGTGAGGCCAGCGTGAGGAATGCTGTGACGAGAAGATCCCAATTCATGAAAGCTTGGAGATTTGAAACTTTTAATAGTGTAGTCAGTAATGTGGCACACCTCCCATAGTTCAGGGCCTTTTTGAAGTTTACTCACTGTTAGATGGGGCTCGGATCTGCTACCCACAGGCTGTTCCCACATCGCCACAGGGCTTTACAGCTGCTCATTGCTACTATCTCCATTGTCATTCATAGGGAGATGTTCCTAATACAGGGCGATGATGGTCTATGGGAGTAGGAACGTGGGAGCAATTTGTGAATAGCAATCCGAACTTCCAAAGTGATTAGATGGTCCTAGGTGTTAGTTTTTTTGTTCATATGGCGTCTTTATTTTAAAGAAAATGCAAGTTGGGATATTTAAACCCTAATCAACTGCTTTAAAAATTAAAGAACTAACCATCTATACACTACATCTATATATACTAAATTTAAGAATAAAAGACTTAAACCTCCCCTAGTATTTCATTTAAATACTGAAACATCCCCTCATTTTTTAAAATAGACTCAAACCTCCCTTCTCAAAAGATGTCAGTAGACAAAAACCTCCCATCCATCAATTCTCTATCCATGTCTACTAGAACGTGATGTCATGTGCACTTTTAAGTTTTTTATTCCTATTTTGCCCTCCATTACTTCTTCGCACATTTGATTGTCATATATGAAAAAATAAAAATAAAAATAAGAAAACACCTCCTTTCACCGAGTAAGGAAGACAACGTCCAATTCACCACTGCAATGGTGTTTCAAAGTGATATGAAACAAAAGACCATCAGAGATGGCCAATGGATCAGATAAAGATCAAGAGATTCGAGTTGTAGTTCTTTGAGGGTGTTATTTAGAGCAGCTCTTACCCTATCTGGCGACAAGTCAGTGGACTCAGAGCACCATAGCTTTGATGTGATTAAGAGGTGCTTTCTCTCCACGCCTGCTTGTATGGCCTTCTTGAGTGCATACCCAACCTCTTCTTGAACTCCATACTCCAAAGCCGTGTCCATGTGTCTATAACCAGTTTCAACAATTGCAGTGAACACAGAAGCTTCAGAACCAGAACTCCCAGTGTTGCCCCACCGCAGGTATGGCGTGAGCCGTGTGACCGCTCAGGCGCTCAGTAGTCAAAATTATTGGGTCATAACTTGTTTAATGAACGTGGCTTGTGCCATACTGCCATCTCCTCTCAGTCTCTCACAATTTACTTTCCTTCTCTGATCTGTGATTTGGTTAATTGACTCCAAATCCAATGTTTGGAACGCAGGTTAATTTTTTCCTTTCAGGAACCGTATTTCGTTGATTTGGTCATTTTGATCACAAGATGAGCATTGGTTTTCAAAAAGAAAGAAAAACGCCCTTGAGTGAGTTGTTATTACTTATTAGATCTCCATTAGCGGCAATTGGATACAGCAGTGATATGAACAACAATCAAATTCACTGTTCCGAGGTTGAAGCTGATTTTTTTTTAATTAATTACATGTCAAAGTCTTTTACTCTAAATTGATTGTTGTCAGAAACTTCAGGAGAGGTTTTTGTATTTTACCCTAGGGAAGGTCTAAATCCAATTTAAAAAGCGAGGGTAAGTGTTTAGGTGAAATACCAGGGGAGGTTCAAGTTTTTTACCCTAAATTTAACTATTAACAGTTTTGTTAATTACTATTTTTTTGCTAATAATTTACTTTTCATTATTTTTAAATGGACTTTAAATTAATTAAAGTTATCTTTAAAATTAATACACTTCCATTAATCAGGGCCTGTACTGTATACGGCATCCATATGCTGCATGGGCCGATGTCTAACAAGTAACAACTACTAAAGCAGAATCATACACATTTTTTTTATGAATAACAAAATCATACACATTAGTGAACACCATATTTATGGTGCCTTGTTGCCTAAAACGGAGAGCCCATTTTAAGTTTCTACCCTGGAACACAGGTACAGTTTTTAGGTTACCCTGTCCGTCTAGGGGATCCCGACTCTGATGATGGTTCTCATTACAGAGGAACCTAAGGTTAAAAGTTTCTTCTGAACAAGAAGAATAAAGATAAATGCAGACCTGATTGAGAAAGGGCTTCAAATGGGGCTGCAAACAACCATATGTGGACTGGAGCATACCCCCTACCATGCGCATAAGCGCATCAGATCATCTGTCGCGAATCTGTTATAGCTTGCATTCTCAAGTTTAATGCTTGCAGGATCACCTCCAGAAAAATGAAGATGTGGAAACTTGCCACCAGAGTCACCACAGGGAAGAGTAAATATAACTCTGAAATTGTGGTTTCTTGACTTGATTTGGGGATGGATGCCATCGAAAAAATATTTTTGCCTCAAACTCTCATTTTGCCGGCAACACTCCAGCAAATAAAATGATCTTAATTTTTAGACCCAGGCAGAAAAAAGAATCCAATCAGACTTTTCCTTCATACTGGAAATTCAGTTTGTAATCATGTTGCAAAGTTGCCAGTGTGCTTCTACAAGGACCCTCTGCAAAACAATGAGCAAGAGAATAGTAAGCTCCAGCTTGAGTAGTTTTTGTCAGAGCTAATCTTCTATCCTGATCACATCAACAGTACTAACCTCCCAATACTGTGTGAAGTTGTTGAAGATCATCGGCAGAGCATGCATCTATTAAAGCATAAACACCCGGTCTCAGAGCCTCATCTATTTCCCTGCAAATTAGGAAACAGAACTTGTTCATTGTAGTGCGATGCTTAAAATTCCAGCTGAATAAATAGACGGTGGGGGAGGGGACAGAGAATACACAGGTAAGAAAAGTATAAGCTAACAATCTATAAGATTCACAGATAATGGCAGAACCACCTTCTAATGCCCGTTTTAAAGGGTCCATATCCTGAATAAATCCATATGTAATTTGACAGAAATAGGAAAGAGTACCGTCCAAGGACATCCTTTTGCTGTCTTATCTGCAAAGGTTGAATAAAGAGAAGATAAAAACAGGATAAAATTAATAATTAATTAATTAGTCTAGAAGTGTGAGAAAATTATAGTAAGGCAACACAATACTGATTACAGAAATGCTGAAATTTGAGAAATAATGCAAAGTGATGATCCTAAAATATCCATCCTTTGTCCTCGTGAAATATAAATGGTTTTGTATTTCAAAACTAGATAAGGTAATCTATATTTTTTACAAGTAAATGTGATTACACTAAAAAGAGATAAGGTAATATATTTGATGCAAGATAGAAATAAATAAAATGCTTTACATCAATATGGACATAAGATGTTAAACATACATGGCAAGAGGTATCATTCCATGGTGATTTTTAATTTTAGTGGTAAAAAAAAACCGACTGCTAGAACAACATATCCATTTCTTTTGCAGTGCAAACACTTTGGCATGTTACCAAGTCCATTGTTCCATAGATTGGTTTCTTAAAAATTCCAAGTACTAGGATATTTTGCAATGCATTTTGTACAAGCTAACAATGTAATATAGTTTTCCCCAGAAACAAATGAGGCATCAGAATGCCATTGATGATGCTTAATAAAAGGAGAGGCATGTTACATTGCCAAATGGCTAGTTTCTAACACCACAAACCTCTTTGATCAAAAAAAAAAAAAAAAGAGAACACAAACCTCTTCATAAATCCTCCGAAGAAAACTTGCACACTTTACTCCCTCTTCAACTTCCCAAGCAAAATAACCTTTGCTGGCTACTAAATCAGTATCCACTGTCTCCAGACAACGAAGGAGAACAAAAACTGAATCTTCAAGCAGAGCGATACACCGTTCTGACTCACTATAGAATAATTACAGAAAGTAGGAAGACATTAGTGCTAAATGAATCAGAAAACAAAGGGAAGGGCACCACAAACTAAATGCCTACATACATGTGAAACAAAACAATAAATAGGTATTTCATTGTCTGGTGGAAGTGTGGAAGCCTAACATGACAGAAGGAACAAATGAATATCAGAAATTGATTGTGTGCAAAGTTTTTTCCGAGTGTTTTTTTATGCATCCCTACTTTTATCTGCAAAGAATAAAATTACAGTAAAATCACCACCAGAACCCCATGCACCTTGCCACCAACATCTCACACTAAAAAGTTCCACCCAGCGCACAAAAAATTTTATAATTAATTGATAGCTCACTATTCACCTTATATCCCAGCACACAAGCAGATAAGAAAAATACCTCTAGGACAACACACACACACACACTAAAAACAGGCTTTAGAGGAGGAGGAAATTGTACACATACCCCTTGTGATGCCTAAGGACAGCACACACTAATCTGCAGCATGCAGAAAAGAGGTCTATTGAGAATTGCTGATCTACAATGTTTGAACTCATGCATGCTACATGCCTTGAATCTTGGTCACCTGAGCCTTGGGAAGTTCTAAGCTCATGGAAATCTTTAAAAAGTGCTGCTGGTGTGTGCAGACATTGCGCCACATGAGAGGAATCCATTTGAAACAGTGCATGTCTTCCAGCAACCTTCGTTAGTACCTCAATGCACATAAGAATAACTGATCCTGGATCTGGATTAACATGTCCATGGTTAGAGGTAACCTTTTTATAAAAGATTAATGTACCCTGCAGGTGAAGAATTATGTTGAATAGAGCACCAACTAAGCTCTGAATATGTCTTTTAACCACACTCAAGCGCTTGCGCCCTGTCAAATAGATCTGGAGTCAGAACATGCATGTCCATTATACAGCAATGAGGAGTTGTAAAAAGATATGATTTTTATGGAGTCTCAGGGAGTGAATAGTCCTAGGGATATGAGTTCACTTCAAACATGAAATTTACAAGTTTATATTATCACAAACCTATGCTATCAAACCAAAAAAAAAATGCATAAGATAATATGCATCTGCACAAGACACATTGATCTAATTGACCATACATGCCATGCATTCAATTATCTAATCGAAATAAATCTGCGCATTATTTATATAATTTTGTCTCTGTTACATTGCTTGAAACCAAAATTTCCTGTAATTTTGTCTAGGCTAAAATTATGGTTTTAGTCAACAAAAAGTAGAACCCAGACACATAAACCAAGGTCCAACGTAGAACCTCAAATCCGTCTACCAGATAAAAACATGTTTTTGAAGAGTAAAGAAGAAATTTTATTAAAATAAAAGAAAGGTACAAGATGACACACCACACCATATTTGAAGAATAATATTCTTCAGATAAACCAAGGTTCAACATAGAACCTCAAATCCATCTACTAGATAAAAAAAAAAAWTTGAGAGTAAAGAAGAAATTATGTTAAAATAAAAGGTACAATTTGACTGGGTATCAAGATAACACACCACACCATATCTGAAGAATAATAGAATAATATAATTACTAATAATAGAAAAGAAATGCAACTATTAGTAACCACCACTAACTCATATAAACCATAAGCATCTGAAACTTAAGAAGATGTAATGAACATGGTGTAAAACTGTAAAAATACAACCAAATAACACCTAGTGTTAACTAGTAGTAGCCACACAGATCGTTTCTGGATCAACAGCATGAAACTTTACTAAAGAAACCAACCAAAAGAGAACATAAGATGGTAATCATTCAGATCATCAAACAAATAACACAAACAGGAAATTGCAAAAGGCAAGTAATAAGTAAGAAGATCAAACAAACAGTATATCTTGAAAGATGAAAACATAGTTTATAGAAACTGCAAACAGATAAAGATAATATCAACCCATTTGTTGTAGAACATTTGGATGCAAATTTGTGCATAACATAACAATAGAGGGGCTGACTGGGGCACATCCCATATTAAGATAAACCAGGCACATATAAATTATTAATCAAAAACATCTTGATTTTTTAAGACGATATAAGGTATTGTATTATATAAAAAAACAAAAGTGCAAACACTTTTCCTAATTACAAGGCACTACACACTGGGGTATAATCAACATAAACAGCTTTTTTAGTTACAAAAAAGCACAGGAAGACAGCATCACTCCTACATAGCTATCCATTATTATTACAGACAGGGTATCTCCTATTTTTTCACTGGAGATGTACTTGGTTTATAATAAATGGGATGTGCCCTAATTAGCATCCTTACATCATAGCTGAAACATAACCATTATAGATGGGGGAAGGGAAACTGGCATCCATTCTAGTACTTGCTTCAAGTAAGGGGAAAAAGTGCTAGGATCTTTGGATAACTTAAAGGGTATTCGAATTCAACAATACCTGAAACAGATTCAAGAATCGAATCCAAGCAGTCAACCCCAGCCGCAACAACTGGGGAGACCTTCCCTCCATCTTGGCTTCCAGTATGTATTTCATAGATCATATTGCACCCCTCCTGCACCCCAACCAATGCTCTCTCTATAGCCTGCATAGCTGACAATAGATGCAACTCCAAAGGCTTCCTGATCAAAACTTTGAATGACATCCTTAACCTAGCTTTAAATTCGTCCAAGTTGTATGGCCCGTGACAAAGTGATGATCCCAATGGTTCCATTTGACCTTGCAGTGTCTTTGTACTTGATTCTGTATCATGTGATGCTAGAGTAGCCCTTTTGCCCTGTAATGAAATGCATCTCCCTATTGCTCTTAAGTGTATATCTACAAGCTTTGCATACACATTTCTAGATGAAGTAGGATTGGTTATGGAAAAATTATTCCCTAAAACTTCCAGATATTTTAGAATACCATCTAACCAAACAAAAGAAAATGAGTGTGGCACTTCAACCATGTCTGCAAACTCTAATAGCACAAACTGTGAAATACCAATAAAAAGGGGAGTCAAAGTTGATGACAAGGGATTGAAGTCAATGAGCAATTTTAGTCCCAGAATAGCTGAAGAAGCAATAAAAAGCTGTCTGACTAAAAATGCCACTTCAGGATTTTCACCTTTTAACAAGCCACACACCAAAGACTTCTTCAAGTGCTCTAGCTCAAATGAATCAACTGCAGTCAGAATACTAACAGCACATTCTGCATGGTCTATCTGCAACCCTTCCTCCTGGAAACTGGAGCTTTTAACATCAGAATTCTTAGTACTTTCATGGTCATCATCAGTCTCAGATGCCGATCCATCCATTCTACCAGGAAAATTCTCCTCTTGTTTGCCAGATGAATTCATGATCTCATCTCCAGATATATTGAGTGACTCCTTGAAGATTAGCGAACCAGTTAGATGGTCTATTTTGGGAAGATTATGCAAATCAGATAAGCCCTGAGGCTGTTGACCATTCTCAAAAAGCAATTTGCGCAGGCAAAAGTTCATAAAATCCTCACACACACTTATGCAAAGACTGATCTCAGACATATGACCGAGCTTCTGTATCAATGATTTTGTTTTCACAGGGCAACACTTCTCATCTATGCTGTTCAAGGAAGATGCTAGACCCCACAAAAATCCTTGGAAGCAAGAAACTGTAGAAGATAATTTATTCAAATCCGCAACACTGACACCAGCTTCTAATTTCGTGTTACAACTATTATTTTTTAGAGCATCAAGCACGCTTTTGGTTTGTTCCTTCAGAGCCTTTGCCACAAGTATCACAACCTTCCAGGTATCAAACTGTTTGGAGAAATCATCACTAGGCTCAGCTTCAATTATATTATTCTGTTCTCTAAGCAAAACAAAATTGGGTAATTTCAGTTGAGGCCTTTCGTATGTTAGGGAGCCAATTGCAAGACCAGATTGATGTTTGATTAATGTCAGAAATACATATGATGTATGATCCATCAATGAGAAGAATATATCTTTCATTTGGCTAGCCTGCTCTCCCAATAATGAATACGAGAATCCACCAATTGCAGAGACAGACTTTAAAAGCCATATAACAGAAAAGGAACTATCAAATAGTATTGAAACAAGTGAGGATTCTTGTGCTCCTATTGTCTCCTCACAAGATACCATTACTAAGTATTTCAAGGCCCTCCGGCAGGATAAGAACAACCTGAAAAGCTCATAGCAACTGTTCAGGAATAACTTTCCCTGAACATTTAATAAGCTGCAAATCACAAACCTGAAAACACAGAAAATCAACTTTATCAATGCAAAAGTTGAACAAGAGAATACAGAACACATCAAACATAATGGCTCAGAAGGTTTAACAATGAAAGAAGATACCAAACTATATATCCTAGGGTAGTTCCCTCGGTTCCATAACCATCTTTCCTTAATAATTATTCATAATTTTCACAAGAGAAGTATAAATTTCATGTTCAAGTCTAGAAAATCAACACTTTATGAGAAGAAAAAGAAAAAAGGAAAGAAAATTCAAAAAATATTGGGGCGGAACCCTTACTTTTGTTATAGGAAAGAAGAAAAGAAAAGGTGGAAGAAGATGTGGAAGAAGAAAATGTGTTGATGAGACAAAATGTTAAGTTCTTCCCTTGCTTATTGGTTCAGGTTTTGAAATTTTTGAGGGCTCAATCAAGGATCAAAATTTCGATATGATACACCCAGTATCGGGTGTATTGTATTGCATCTTTGGGGTCCCGATACCTGTTTACAGGTGTTTTCGGGGACCCATTTTTTTTAAATAATATATATATTTAAAAATGAAATTAAACACCAAAGAAATAAAAAAAATAGGGGGAATATCGTTATAAGGACCGATACACCTCTGCCAATACCCAGAGGTGTATAGATACTTTGAACCATGGGTTCAATACAGCAGTTAGCAATTTTGCGTTGATTAAACCCTAACAAAATAAGAAAATAATAAAAAGAAATTAGTATATAAACACATAAAATGAATATTCTAGTTTAATAATGTTATTTTAAAATTATAATGTTAAAAATTTAAAAATATAAAAGTATTTTATAGCCCAATGCACAAAACTACTTGGCGACTGGGCGAGGCAAGCCTCCAAGGGCGCCTTGTCACCTAGGCGTCGCCTTGACAACTATGCTTGGGAGGTCTCTTTTAATTCCTAGAAGGGGGCGGTTGAGATTTGAAGAAGGTTGGAAAGCTCTAGTACGAGTGGCCACCTTTTCTCTTTTTCTCCCATTAAGCCGGGTGCAATGAAACCCTAGTTTTTGAACTTTTTAGTACTGACCTCAGTTAGGTCCATAAAGAGTGAAAAACCCTTTTTTTTTATTTTCATTTGATTAATGGAGCAATCTAGAAGTGAAATGAAGCAAATTCCGATATCCGGGGTTGGTCCTCAGATTCCTTTTTGAGTGGAGTGACTACAATTAAATTAGATGGAACCAATTATCTAGCMTGGGCAAACTTGGTGCTAAATTGGCCTCCATCCCTGTAGACTTAAATCACAAGCTTTCTGCTGTTGATGGTGAATTGTTGTCTGATAGGGGAGTGTTCCAAAGACTGCTTGGGAAGTTGTTATATCTCTGTATGACACGGCCAGATATTTCCTATGCAGCGAGTTTAGTTAGCTTATGCATTCTCCTAGAGATACACATTTAGCAGACACAGAAAGAGTTTTATGTTATTTGAAAGGCACTCCAGGAAAAGGTATCTTTTTTGCCAAACATGGACACATGAAGTTGGAAGCATACATTGATGCTGACTGAGCCGGATGTATTGATGATAGGAGATCCACCTTAGGATACTGTGCTTTGGTAGCGGGGAACATTGTCTCATGGAGGAGTAAGAACCCGTCTATAGTAGCTAGATCTTCAGCTAAAGCAGAGTACAGGGCAATGGCACATGGAGTGTCAGAATTATTGTGGTTGAGATCACTTTTGGGAGAGTTGGGTGTTGACTGTGAGAAACCAATGATGCTCTATTTTGATAATCAGGCAACTATCAACATTGCGCATAATCCCGTCCAGCATGACAGAAATAAGCACATAGAGGTCAACAGACACTTTATACGGGAAAGAGTTGCTTCAGGGGAAGTTTGCTTGCCATTCATTGCTTCAAAGGAGCAGTTAACTGATGTCTTAACGAAGGGTGTTCCAAAAGGAAAATTAACTCACTATATAAGCAAGCTGGGCATGATTGACATCTATGCTCAGCTTGAAGGGGAGTGTAGAGAGACAGGACCGAATGGGCCCTAGTACTTATTTATGCTTTAAGTAGTGTGAAAACCTTATTTAGTCCTAGGTTACAATAGAGAAGTAGGAGAAGAAGAAGAAGAAGAAGAAGGGTTCGAACAGTAGAGGAAAATCAGTCCTCTCTCTAGTTGACCCACTTGTATTTATCTCCAATAACATAGTTACAAGAAAGACCATATTGTCCCTCATAAGTGATGGGACACACAACTTAAGCTTAAACAAAACAGACCTTTCACTCTCAAATGGATAAACCCAAATGACCAAAATACCCATGTTTTGTGTACTCTAACACTCCCCCTCAAGTTGGAGAGTATATGTCATATAGTCCCAGCTTGTCACAAATATAATCTACTCCACCCCGAGACAATCCCTTTGTAAAGAGATCTGCCCACTGATTTCCTGAGCTCACATGAGATGCG